GCTACATCTACCACTTCTCAAACATAAAACACAGCTCTTTAAGGGAAGGGAGGGTAAATGAGCCAGGTAAAATGAGCCAGGCTGGAGTCAGTAAAACTATCCAGAGTGCCAGCAAGCAATACCTGTGTCCTGGGTTTAATATATTCACTTCCCAGTGATCGTGCCCAGGAGGATTAAATGAGAGATGCTTTAACTTAAAAGCTGGTAGGTACAGCACTGCTTTTTTTGTCCCTCTGAAAAGTGGTTTGCTTTTACTGAAACAGCTAAATGCAGGCATGTTAAGCTTAAATATATAAGTGTGTGGGGGTACCTGAGAAAGCATCCCATTAGGTAACCCGGTAACTTTCTCCTGGGAAGATGCTGAGAATATCACCTTTGCTGCCAGTCAGGGCCAAGACAGGCTTGTTAGCAGCTTGTGACAGCCCTACTTTGCTTTGTGGGTATTTTAAATGAGGGTAGCAGAGCTAGAGGAAGAGGTGATAACGTCTGTGCTGGCTTTTTTCTTGTTAGGGGGGTGGCAGAGGAGGAGATAGGACTAATTGCATACCTTCCAATTCCAGTTACTTCATTACAGAATAATCATTGGAGCAGCCCTGCAATCTGCTCTGATAGCAGATAAGTGGTGTGGCTCCAAGCACTTCAATCTAAACAAAACTTAAGTGCTTTTTCCTTTTTCCCTGGAGTGAAACTGTAATTTCGTTGTGTGAATGTTCGCCAGGACGAAGTTGTTTTCGCAGCTGTCATGAAGCTTCTCTGGGCTTTGTGTGTGTTAGAGGTATGTCCCCAGTGGATGTAGCAAAAATATCCCAAAATACTGCATTCCCTTACCTGGCAGCTTCAGTTGAAGGCTCTCCAAGTGTTTGCCAGGTGAAGGTTTGTTTAGCATTGACGTTGGATGTCTCAAAGGGTTTAGATATAAACCGGTGAGGGTTTGGATTATATTCCTTTCTGTAGCAGGACATGCTAATTAGGTTCTCTGTCTGCATTAGGCCCTGAAATAGTCAAATTGAAGAGCCTGAGCACATCTCTGCTGCTTCAGAATATGAGAGTGGTCTCATTGACAAATGGTGTCATTTTTGGTTCTGCAGTGTAGAAATGGTGTTAAATGCAATCTGTGCAATGTGAGAGAGAATGATTGGGCAGAGCTTTAGAGAGGGATTTGGTCTTTCTTTGAAATGGGATAAAAATGTGTTTGTGCACCAGGCTGAATCCTGAGAAGTCACAACATCCTTGAATGGTTTGGGTTGGATCCTTGTTCCAACCCCCTGCCATGGGACACCTTCCACTATCCCAGGTTGCTCCAAGCCCGGTCCAGCCTGGTCTGGAACATTTCCAGGGATGGGGCAGCCACAGCTTCTCTGGGCAACCTGTGCCAGTGTCTCCCAAAATACCTTCTTGGAACTGATGTTGGTGGTGGTGACTTTGAGGTACCGGCTGAGGGCCATGAGAGCACTGCAGACAAGTGCCTGGATCCTGCTCAGTGCAGTACTGGCCAAACCATAAACTTCTGTCAGGCTCTTTTTTATTTTTTTTTTTTTTTTTACTGGACTGCCACAGAACTGTTAAATCTGATCTGTTCCTAAAAAGACAGCTGACTGTGCAATCTGAGCCACATAAAATTCTTTGTCTCCGCTTTGGACTTGAATGGAAAAGTAGTTTGTTTTCGCATTAAATCGACCTCAACTGTCGCTGCCCCAAAGGGGGTCTGTTCTTGCAGGCTCTGCTTGGATGAGTGCTCTTGGCCCTTGCTGTGTTTCAGTGTAAGCCTGCTCACTCAGATCAGGACAATGGGAGGATGGTAACACACCGAGACAGATACTTGTTAGCAGGTTAAATGTTCTGGGAAAGAAAATGGAATAACACTTTTTACGAGTTAATGGTTTTGGTAAGTTTGGGCTTGGTTGTGTCGGTTGTAACTCTGCTGATAGGGTTGATCGTGTAGGTCCAGCTGCAGCTTTAAGAGCTCTTGGAATAAATAAGGTGAAGTGATGGTGAATTTCAGAGGATTAAAGAGTATGAGGCCCATTTCATGGGGTCTTATATTTTTAAGGCGGCTTTCAGGGGGGAAAGGCCCAAACGTGCTTTGCAAAGGGACCTGTTCATCGTGTGCTGTAGTGGATCCAGGCTTTGATAAGAACAGTGGGGCTTCTTTTAATGACATGAACTGCATCACCTTTTTTAAATTAGGTATTTATTTATTTGTATAATATACAGGGGGAAAAATACTTCTTTCCTGTGCTGTGCAGGTGACCACACACTGGAACAGATTGCCTAGAGAGGCTGTGGAGTTTCCCTCACTGGAGGTATTTCAGAACCCTCTGGACACAATCCTGTGCCACGTGCTCTGAGATGATCCTGCTTGGGTGGGAAGGTTGGACCAGACGACCCACTGTGGTCCCTTCCAACTTAAACCTTCCTGGGATTCTGTGGAAATCTGTAGCCGATCAGACTCCTGCAATCCCTTTTCAGCCACTGATGCTGCAGGGACAGGAGGCTGGCAGGCTGGGTTGGGTATTGCCTGAATAAAAACCAGGATTAATCCCAGAGTGCTACCTGGCAGCAGGGCTCCCTGACCCCCAGCCTGCTGTGGAGACCGACCCAGAGCGATCTTTGCCACAGTTTCCTTGGGAGAATATTGTAGGATGTGAGTCTTGTGTGGGAGTACCACACTGCCTTTGTAAGGAAAAGAAGGCAGAAGATGGGCTGTGGTGTGATGACTTTTGTGTTGGCCAACCTGCTCCGAGGGTAACGTAGATGGAAAGGGACTTGCCTGTGAACAGGAGGTTCAGCTGGGTAGTCAGGAAGGGTCTGCAAAGCACAGCTCCTTTCCTATGAGAGGGCAGAGCTCCTCCACCTGTAAACACCATGACAAACAGCAAGATTTTGGCATCTTTTGTGTTGACATGAACTGCTGGCTCGTAAAACGGTGTCTCTCACAGATGTCTCAAACCCACAGTGTTAGTTGTTGTGTGTGCTGTTGTGTTCCCCTTCTCCAGTAAAAAAAGCTAATCCTACCTTCTCAAAAGGGTCCATTTGCCTTCCCAGTGCCGTGCTCGGTGTTTTTTGGAACTGGTCTTCAGTCTGTGCAGGTTGACAAGGCTCTTGTGACCGTCTGGGGAGGGTGAGTTGACTTACTCGTGCTCCGCTCCTTGTCTTGAAGTGCGTTAACTGAGCTCCCACGGCAACCCCCCAGCCTTGGCTCTTCTCAGGCCTCTGTTTACCCCTAAATGGTTGTGTTGTGCCTTGGTGCTTCCTTCCTCTCCTCCTTGTGTTTGGCTCAGGGCTTCGATGGCCCCTCTGGAGCATCACGTGGGTGCTGGGACCGGCACACGTGACTGGGGCAGTAGATGGGGACTGTCCACAGGTTTTTGCACATTGATGTGTTCATGGGCTGGGATGGCTGCCCTGGGACTTCTCATGTGCTTCCACTTCCAGTACTTAGTTACCCTCCATCCTGACTGTAGAAAATGAATTGAAGGCAAATTATCCTTTGCTGGAGACTTTTCTAGGGGAAAAAAGGTTTAATGAGTATCTGAAGGGCCACAATCCTCTGGATTGTGTGTGGTGTCATGTGGCTGTGAGCAGGTTTTCCTTATTGCAGGAGCTGGATTGATTCCTCAGGGCTGGATAGCATCTGATTTTTATGTGAGGGAGGGGGGAAAGCTGCCTGACTTTAATCTGAATTTACTAGGTAGTTAATAAGAAAGACCTCTGCCCTGAGAAACTCGCTCAGCTGATGTTGTGTTGCAGGAGCTCCATGGAGATGAAGCCTGCTGGCTTTATTTTGCTCTGAAATCCCTTTGGCTTAAAGCTGCTTCCAGAATCTCATCCTCAGTGGTACTTCAGGCTTGTGACAGGGGAACCTGCTGGGTGTTAAGGGGGCTGAGACTGAGGCAGAGCCTGGATGTTTTGGTGGCTGAGAGGTGACACTGGCCCGTGGAGCTTGTCCTTCAGGTGACAGGCACGTTGCTGAGGGCAGTGTGCCTCTGCCTGCCTCTTCCCTTTGTAATCTGCAATTTGTATTTCAAAGCAGAGGGATTTAAGGTGTTTTCTGTGCAGTTGTGGTCGGTGGGAGCAATTAGGTGCCGTGGTGAGTGGCACTGGAGCTGCCGGTGGTGGCTTGGTTGCGTAAGCTGGCGTTGCTAAAGCAGCAAGTGAAGGTATTTGCAGCAGTCACTTGGAAACTGGGATAACTCAGGTCTGAATCAGGCTCAGGCTCAAACAGGTTGTGGAATTTATTTATACAACGCCACCACCGGGGCGTGTGACGTGTCAGAGCCAAACAAACAGCGGTTCCCAGCCCCAGGGCTTGTGTTGGGTGTTAGATAACGAGGCATGGGGTAATTACAGCCAGGGACATGGGTGGAGGGGTTAGGAGAAGGGTGAGGGTTACATGACATGTGCCTTGTTAATGGAGAAACTGTGGGTGTGCCCGGGGTTGTGGGGAGGATGGAGGTCAGCTTGGCAGAGGGAGGTGTCGAGTGACTTACGGGAGACACGTGGATTAAGGAGGGAAAGCGGAAGGAGGCAAAATGAAACCAGTCAAGGGTGCGGGGAGGGGCTGGTTCACACGGAAGCTGACGTGCAGAAGCAGTGCCACTCAAGGGTCTTGAGGAATTTGGGTGTTAGGGCAGCGACTGGGAACCCCTAAGCACATGTGTTTGATGGGAACAGAAGAACAGGTAAAGAAAGGGGGTCCAACCTGGCTGCTGGGAGCTCTGTGTTCCTCCTCTCTCTGCTGCCGTGGTGCCAAAGTGCCTTCTGCCCAGCCACCTGTAGTTGGTGGACTCTCTGGGGTGATTCACAGTCTTCAGTCAGCGCTGAAGACCTTGAGTTGGTGGAGCTCCACGTCAGCAGTGCATGGGTGGTTGTTCCCATGTGCCCTTTGCTCTGGGCAAATGGATCTTTTTTTTTTTTGTGTGTGTCTTAAGAGCTGCTTGGTGGTTGTAACACTGTTACTGTGTCACTAATTTCCTTTTTCCTTCCCTTTTGCCCTTCAGAAATGCCATTCTCGTGAGTGTGCAAGGAACCTACAGAACTGTAATGTCTAACCCTACATGGAATAACAACTCTTGGAAGGTACCACCCTTTTTTAACTACGTGGCTTTGTTACAGGTCGGGTTAATGATGATCTTTTGCTTTCACAGCTCGAAATCGAAGAACTGTTGTCTTATGTAATGCTGTCTCTTGGAAAGGGCTGGCAGGGCTGTGATGCTCCAGCCTCTGATTCCCAGAAAAACTGTGCAACCCAACCCTTGGCCTGGGGTGCTGGTGGGGGCCAGTTTCTCTGTGAATGATCTCTTTAGGCAGGTCTGGTGTTGCCTTAGGAACAGATGGTGGTTTCTATTCAGAGAGCTGAACTAAGCTTTCTTCATACTTGGTGGCCATCCTTGGAAACATATTGCCCTTCTTCAGTGATGCACGATGGCTCATCTGTTTGTCTTCAGTGACCTTCTGGATCGTCTTTCCTGAGGCTTCCAGCCATATTTATAAGGAATATTGTGATAAAGTGCCGTTACACTTTAGCATTTAGATGGAAATGTCTTGGCTGTTTCGTGCTGCATTAACCAGCTCTGAGGCGTTGGCTTGTTCCGCTGTCTGATCCCGCAGTGATGCCATAATACTGAATTTTGGACTGCCCTGTACATTGCCATGGCAACAGACTGATGTCACACGCTCAAGGACATGACTTCAGTGTACGATCATGCAGAGGCACAATCAGATTTGTGGAGGAGAAAGCTGACTAATGCACATCTCAAAAGCAAACAAGGGGAATGCAGGTTACAGGCTGACCAAGCAAGGTGCCTCAGGACGAAAACTCCCCGCTTACAGAAGGGGCTGATCATGTCTTTAGGACAGGAACAGTTGTCTTGCTGAGCTTCTCTTTACCTTGGAGAAGCAGATGACTTGCAGGTGTCCCGTATCTTTAAAGCAGGTGGTGTTCTGGGGTGGGGAAAGGCTCTCTGGTTTCGGAGCTTTGGAAGGGCATTTCTTTGTTTTAATTTTAAAGAACTTCTCAGTGGTCTTGTAAGCACCCTGAGAGCACTTCAACTGGCTTAATGTTGTTCAAACAGTTTAATTGGTTTTCCAAAGCTTTTATTTTATCCATAACATTGGAAGGTGAAAGGGGAACTCCGCATCTGCATTACGGTCACATTTTCCTATATCCTATTAGCAGATTCCAAGATTGTTTAATGTGATCTCCACCCATTTCATTTGGCTGCAACCTTTGCTCCCATGAAAACAAGGCTGATTGTTCTGAATTGCTGTGTGTATGTGCTTTGGCACGGCATGAAGGTACCTATAATAACACAACCATTGTCTGGAAAAAAAAGGCAGTTTGCAGTAATAACTACAAATAAAAGGGTGCAGTGCCGGGGCAAGACAGATAATGGGTTGTTTTCCCACCCATTGCACGGAGGAGGCTCTCAACACGGTCACCCCTCAGCAGGACAGGGCTGCAGGGCTTCAGCCTGGGATGTGAATATTGGGAATAAGGGACCGAAATATTTGCACGCTGTTCCAAGTTTCCCTTTCCTGGCCGCGGTTCCATTCGCTCATATCTAGGGATGGGGAGGCTGAATGACTTTTGCACAATGCGCTGTTTTATTTGCATGCTGTGAGCGGTTTAACAAGTGTGTGTGTGCGTGTGCTAAATGGAGCATTCCCACTTTTTCAGTCAGCAGCTGACGTGCCCAGGAAAAAAAAAAGAAGGAAAAAAAAGGAAAAAGCGCCTTTAGGTTGAACAGTGGGGTTTTGAGGAGTGACACTGTGCTGTGTGTTCGTGCCAAGCCTGAAATGCTGTGAGATTCAGTAAAGAACCTCCTCAAACTCCTTCCTGCTGAAGGAATTTTTGCTCATCCCTGCACTTTTCGAGGAGTAAAAGCTGTTGTGGCGCGAGGTTCGGGAGCAACGCGATCGTTCTGAGCCTTTTGGCGTCCGGGGAGTCGGGGGTGTTTTAACAGAAACTGGCACTTCTTATGGCGAGTTTGGTGGCCTCCCAAGGACAGGAAGCTGTGGAGTGTTAAACAAGAGGCAGGGAAGGAGTTGAACAACCCCGTCTGTAAATCAGGATGCTTGAATTGAGATCCTGGCCTCGAGCTGAAAGGACTGGAAGCTCTGCAGGATCACAGTGATTCGAGCTGCTCTGCAGAACAAGAAGATAATGGTGATGGACTATCAAGAAGGCAGCCCTTGCTAAAAAAGAGGAGCCTTTGTGATACGGTGGAAGGGAAGGAAGTCTGGGGAACTTAGAAAAGGAACAGATGTTTTTGGAGGTGGGGAAAAAGTTAACTATCCCTGTAGTTTGCTCTTGCAGCGGAGCCAGCAGAAGGAACTTGATACCAAACAAAAGTAGGCACACCCAGGATTTAGCACAGGGATCCTGGAAAGCTGATTTTTTTTTTTTTTTTTCACAGCTGCAGTGCTTTTGTGTTTGACAAATAACCTTACACAGTGGCATCTTGCAGAGACAGATGTGAATAATATGTGTGAGTGTGTGCAGGGGTGTGTGTGTAGAAGTTTGAAGGTGCTTGCTGCTGTTCTTTAAACAGTAGAAAAAATACTGATGTATGAAATGATACTCCAAGTGGGGAGCCAGGAGGGGATGCAGTTCCCTGAGAGGGAAATAATGACAGAAGATGCATTAAAAAAGAGGGAGAGGCTGCTGCTAGGGTGTGTTTATGTACTGTGATGACTGCAAGTGTGATAGAACAGATTGCTGATCCTGTGTATCAAAGTACCAGTAGCGATGATTTTTCAAGTTGTTGAAACTTGCACCCACAAAAAAACCCTATATTTTGTTCTTCCTAATAGGTTGATCCACTGTAATTGACTGTGAAATAAACCTGGGGGAATTTTCCCATCTGTATGTGATGCACAGCTTCTTTGCTGACTACTTGGCAACGGCACCTTCAGATAATTAAAAGCTGTTTTTTAAACCCACTCTTCTTTCAACTCTTGTTTTTCTGCATCTTGCTACTTCTCTGAGAGCTGTCAGTCACTCTTCTGGTTAAGGTGTGAAAATCTAGATAATGTGCTTTCAGGAAAGGAAACCTGCATATGATCTCTTTACCTTTGAAAAAAACCTAGGTGAACATGTGAGGCTTTTTAACATGCACATCACCCCCTCCAGCCCTAAAAGTAACTCGGCTTTCCCAGTCCAGTGTGGAAAACTAGAAATTAACTTTGACTTTCGGAGCTCTGGTGCCACTTGCCCCTCTAAAATCAATAACCAAGCCTCCGTGGTTTGCTTAGGAGGCAGTTCTAATTACCCAGAAATGACAGGAGTTGTTCAGCACAGGGATCCTCTGGTTTCAGCACATAGTTTCGTTGCTCGGTGGTGTTTTGAGAGGCCGAAGGGTGGGATGCAGCTCCAGCGAGTTTCCAGATTCCTAACAGTGTGAGGGACTGTTTTTAATAGTGATGATAAAAACAGCTATTCCCAGTTGGAGTTTAGTCAGTGGTACAATTATCAGAGCTATGAAATAGTGCAGGGATGGCTCGGAATGGAAAAACTACGGCTCGGAGCTCATTTTCTTGAGGGGGCCGTTCGAAACGACTTCCTGCGAACTCGGGGAGAATTAACAAGAGATGTCAAAGGCTGAGGGATCAGGCTCGGTGATTGCTTTGCTAACTTAGTTTTTGGGCTGCAAGCAAGCTCTCAGCTGGCTTTTGGGAGAGAGAGAGAGAGCTGGTTGTTGAAAGCCAGCGTGGTGAGTGGGATCTCTGGAGCCACAGTTTGGGGGTGCTTTGTTTTCTGCTTGGCTTCTGGGTGGTTTGGTGGGGTTTGTTTTCTCTGAGAAGAGAATGTTGGTTGTACTGGAGGGAACAGATGAATACGGGGTTAGATGGCAATGCTTATGTCTTTGTCCTTTTCTGTCTTGATTATAAAGCTGGTTTTAGACTGTTAGAGCAGGTCCAGAGGAAGAAATTCCTGTGTGGGAGGGTGGTAAGGCCCTGGCACAGGTTACCCAGAGAAGCTGTGGCTTCTCCATCCCTGGAAGTGTCCCAGGCCAGGTTGGACAGGGCTTGGAGCAACCTGGGCTAGTGGAAGGTGTCCCTGCCCAGGGCAGGGGGTTGGAACTGGATGATTTTTAAGGTCCCTTCCAACACAAACCATTCCATGATTCTGTATTTTCTATTCTTTTGCATTAAAAAGTTTAAAAAAATCTTGTGAAACAAAGTTCTGTTTGCTTGTAGAAAAGTCCATACTTCCAAAATGACCATTAACCTGGAAAGAATTGCACCAGAATCTTCTGGAGTCCTGTCATAGGTCTGTGCTACTGAATTTTGAAGATGAATCATGGGAAAGGAAAGACTTGCAGCAGAAGTTCTCACAGTTCACATGACACCTGAGTGTGCAGAAGCTGTCCTTTACTGAAATTTTAGTGCTATTTTGGGACCTTTCTTTTTTCTTTAAAGAATGAATTATGGTGGAATTCGTGCTATGCGTGGAATTTCTGAAAATTTAATTGTGTTAGTTGCTAGGTGTATAGACTGTAAAGCTCTGAAAATATCAAACTATTTTTTACTTCAATAACTCTGGGTTATTAATGGAAAAAAAATTTTTTTTTTTTTTTTGGCTCTATTTTTAAAGATCCACAGAATTGGTAGGTTTCCAAATTAGCTTAGGTTTTAAAAGGTCTTCTGAAAAAATCGTGCACGAAGATGTTGTATTTCACCTTGCTCTCTACTGCAGTTCACCAGTCAAAAATCCCTGAGCTCATCTGCAGCCCAGTTATTTCAGCAGATGTTCTGTGTATGTTGTTCTTTTATGAATTTGTGGAAAACCAGGTGAGACTTTGCCTGGGAAGGATTTGCAGCTTGTCCTGTTGCCTGCTTTGTGCCTTCATCTTAAGCAGTTTGGCCTTGGTGTGTCACACTGCTGTGCTTTGGGTGTTCCAAGTCCTTTCTGGTCTCTTTGAGCAGGTTTTGTGGGGTTTTGTTTTGTTTTGTTTTGTTGGGGATTTTTTTGGTTTTGTTTTGTTTAGTTTTTGGTTGGGTTTTTGTTTGTGTTTGGTTTTTGGGGGTTTCGTTTGTTTGTGGCTTTTGTTTTGGTTTTTGCTTTCTGGTTTGTT